TAAAGACTAATAGAGTTGAGTAAAAAGGACTCAGAAGGTCAGCATGGAGTCACTTGCCTTGTTAAATTTGGGACAATTTGGACATAAAAAAGAATTAAAACCATAATAGATTTTAAAACATTGAGAAACAGCAATCCATAGTAATAACTAGAATAATAAAATGCAAGAGAGAAGATGAGAAGCAGAGCATAAGATTGACCTTTGGTTGAAAAAAAATTTTTTTTCTGCACTGTAACAAGAGGCGTAAACAAGGATAAAATTGGTGCCAATAAAGGTGAGTATTTAGGTGTGTATAGCTAGTCATATCGTAGCTTTTATTTTGTCAATGAAGCATGAAGCAATCACAAGTGAAGATGGGGGAGAAGGTATAGGAAAATGGTAGCCTCAGGAAGCAGGAAAGTTAGCAGAAAGACTAGACTACATAGAGTGCTTGTATGAAGTCTAGGCTCATAAATTTAAAGTTAAACCGGAATACTCAACAATGTAACTTTTCTTAACAACATTCAGTGACTCAAGTCTAGGCACGGAAGGGACAGATGGCAGAAATTAGCTCTGGTTGGTGTTTTGGTAAGTGAGTGCTATGGAGAGAAAGGAAAAAGGTAGTTTCTGGTATTTTAAAGGACAAGATCATAATCATTGTCACAGAACTTTGCTTAGAAGGAGGGAGTGAAGTCAGGAAAGAGATAAAGGTCCTAAGATTTCATTTATGTCATTATCATTAAGGTTGACATTATTTTGTGATGTTGTATTTTGAGCACCTTCCAATGTGAGGGGCTTACCTTACAGCACCATGTTGGACATGTTCTATTACTTCTTTTCAAAAGGAGGTCTCCAGGCATTTTTTTGTAGTCTGTTTTAGTCTGGAAGCTCCATTGAAATCTGTACATCATGGGTGGCCCTGCTGGTATTTGAAATACTGGCATAGCTTCCAGCATCATAGCAATATGCAAGCAACTGCAATATGACAAACTGACAGAGATGTGGTGGGAAAAGTAGGTTAGTGAACTACTTTGTCATTTCTTTGATATCTGCATAAATGTCAGAACATCCAGGTCTTTTCTCTTGAACTTGTCAATTTTCCTAGAAATGATTCTTCTAATTTCTTTCCAGGCCTGTATCTATACCCTAGCTGCTTCAGTGTTAGGAGGAGGGTGAGAGTTAGAGGAGAGGTTCACATTGTTTTGTACATATTTGTTGTTATTATTGCCTTCAAGTTGAGTAACAGCATCCCAAAGTAACCTAGGGTTCCCAAAATGAGACGGTGGTTATGCTGAATTCTGAGGCTACAACTCCATTTTGAAGCAAAAGTCGTCTCTAAGAGAAATCAGAAAAGTAGTCTATCATTTCTGTAACTCTTCAATGGACCCTGAGAAAATTATGTGGTAAAGAATTTCAGAGAACAATGTGATTTTACTTGCTGCTTAGGTAGCTGAGTCTGAAATAATTTTCAGAACAGATGATTATGCAAAATAAACTGTTGTGAAAATAGCACCAGCCAGCGTTTGACCTCCTCTAACTTCACAAGGAGATAGGAGAATCAGAATCAACACAGCAAGGCAGACATCAGACACGCCTCCACCTCTTACCTTTGTACCAATTATGACACCAACTTTCCCTCTCATGGCACTCTATGCTTCTCTGCTGGGTTCAATAATTTATTGCAAAGGTCAAACAGAACTCACGGACAATACTCACAGTTATAGGTTTAATAGGGAAGTAAGAGGTTACACAATTCAGGATCAGAAATGCTCAGGGCAGCCTCCTCTCAGCCAGTCCTTAGGCATGCTTCTCTCTAGTCCCTGACCCCTTGGCCTGGTCCCTGCCCTGCTCAGACTAGGGTTACAAAGTTATTTTAGCTCTGTCAGTAAGTGCCCAGAGGCATCCCATATTGAGGGAAAGCCTTCTGTCTGAAAACACTCAGATTTCTCAATCTGAGTGCTGGTAAACCGCCTCCCCCGCCCCCCCCCCCCCCTTCTCTGCATTTTGTAATAGCTCATTTTAAGCCAAGTGGGATAGCAAAATGAACCAATCCTTTCCCTAGGGTTCCATACATCTTATTTGAATGGTCCTGGTGTGGCGCTGTAGGATAAGCCCTGGAATGCAAGGTCAGTTTGAACTGTAAGGTTGTCTGTTCAAACTCACCATCTGTTCCTTGGAAAACTCTATATAGGGTCACTATGCGTTAGAACTGATTCTACAGCATGTAACAACAACAGTAACTCCATACATTATTAGCAAACTATCTAATCCCCTTGGCCGACCACAAGCAACTCACATTTGCATATTCCTATCCTGTCATTGAAGTCCTGGCGTGGCACTGTGGGTTAATGTGCTGGACTGCAAGGCCAGTTTGAACTGCAAGGTCGGCAGTTCAAGCTCACCAGCTGCTCCTCGGAAACCCTATACAGGGTCACTATGGGTTGAAACTGATTAGATGGTACTTAACAACAACAACATCCTGTCATTGGTACTCCTGGTGTGGCGCTGTGGGTTAATGTGCTGGATGGCAAAGTCATTTTGAGCTGCTAGGCCGGTGTTTCGAGTTCACCAGCTGCTCTTTGGAAACCCTATACAGGGTTACTTTGGGTAAGAACCTGCTCAATGGCTCTTAACAACAACAACAATCCTGTCACTGTATGGTGCTGTAGGGTAAGCACTGGACTGCTAACAGCAAGGTTGGCAATTTAAATCCAATCACTCCTTGGAAACCCTATACAGGGTTGCTATGAGTTAGAACTGACTTTAGGGCACTAACAACAACAACAACCCACTCAGAGTTGTTGGTGGGAGTTATAAAGACCATAGTTGTTAAGTGCTGTTGAGTCGGTTCCAACTCATAGGGACTCAGTATACTGCTTCTTAGGAGCGACTGGTAAGTTTGAACTGCCAACCTTGTGGTTCAAACTGACCTTGAGGTTGAGCACTTATTCTATGGCACCAAACCAGTTAGAAGGGCCATATAAACAAATTCACTGCACCCCATTTTGGAATTACAGATGTCTTCCTTTCTGTCTTGTGAGAAGGGTCTCCTGATTGTTTTGAGGTCAAATGCACTTAATTTAATGATTACTTTGTAACTTAAAAAAACACCAAACCAAAAGAAAAACCCAAAACAACATTAGAAATAAGTAATCTCCTTATAATCAGATGCATCATCACTCAATTGTGTAAACACTACCTAAATAACAAAGGAGCTCTGGTAACGTAGTGGTAGTGGTTACAAATTGGGCTGCGAACCGCAAGGTCAGCAGTTCAAAACGACCAACTGTTCCATGGGAGAAAGATGAGGCTTTCTGCTCCCATAAAGATTTATAGCCTCAGAAACCCTGTATAGGGTCGCTGTGAGTTGGAACCGACTCCACGACTCCACGGCACATAACCACCATCACCCTGAATTTTTACTGACATTGCTTGTGTTTTTTCATATGAACTCTCTAAACTGCCATCCTTACGCTTAGCTCAGAATTCTTTGGACCTTATGATTCCCAATTTGCCTGTTGTTGTTGCTATGTGTTGTGGAGTTTTGATCTGCTGACTTTAAGGTTCGCAGCCCGATTCGTAACCACTATGCTGTCAGAGCTCCTTTGCAATTTGCCTTGCCCCTCAATAAAAGCTCTTTCTTTTAAATTTCAATCCGACTCTGCCATTTGTTCGAAGACAAAGTCATGAGTTGATGAATGAAAAGTTGCCTGGGCCTGTACCATATTCACGAATATGTTTGAGTCCATTGTTGGGACAATCCATTTCCTGTAGGATTTCCCTGTTGTTGCTGACCCTCTGATTTGCCAAACACCGTGTCCTTTTCTGGTGATTAGTCTTTCCTAATATGTCCAAAGTAAATGAGCAGGTCTTGTTGCTAAGGACATTCTTGCTGCATTTCTTCTAAGACTGATTTGTTCATTCTTCTGAAAGTCCACAGTACATGTCAACACAGTATTCTTTGTCAACAGAACATATGCTTATATCATCATTTCCCCTTGCTGTGTTTTACTTTCCACCACATCTAGTGCCCTGAGTGTGGATGTTCTCCAGTTCACCTTCCCCTGCCCATTCAGTAATCCATTTCCTGTTTTGAGTATAGACATGAGTGTGTGTGTGTGGGCAGTCAGCTGACTATAGGGATTTGAGGGCCCAAACATTCTGCATGTGAATGGTTAACTCGATTTCTTCATTTTCATTGTGCATTTGGGAAACCCCAACAATTCCTTCACCTAGTTTTACAAATGATGAGTAGATCTAGTGTGTCTGTGGAGACTTTAGGTAAATGAGCCCCAAACGAATTAAATGAAAGTCAATTCACTTAAATGGCCAATTTCTAATTTGTCCAATAGTTTTTGATTGATTATTTAGTTTTACTTACCATGTTGTCTTCAAAATAGCATTTTAAGATAAATTCAGTTAGATTTTGCTCTAGTTTCCTTTCTTTTGCAGCTAGTATGAGGGACTAGAGGAAAGGGAAAATCCAGAAGGAATTAAAAGGAACATAGAGTACTTATTCTTCTTACCTATGTAGTCGTGATTATTAACTAGATGTTTGAATTTAGGCATATCTTTTGGCTTTCTAATCCTCGGTTTCCCAGATACTAAACAAGGATCGCAATTATAATTTAGATAATGTATGAGTGGGCGTGTGTATGCGCGAGCACGCGATTGGAAAGGTTGAAGCAAAAAACGAATCTGTACAATCCTTTTAGTAATATGACGTCACCATAGTAACAGCAGCCAGTGCGCACGCGCATATTTAAAGAGACAGCATGCTCTTGGGAGCCGCTTAGCTCCGCCCTCATTCTTACAGAGCTCCTCCTCTGTTTCTTAGAGACCGCCCCGCTACGCACTGTGGAACTCAAGTCACCAATCATTGCCCGCGTTTTGCTTGTCGTCATTGGCGCGTGCCCCGGTTTCAAAAGTTAGGGGGCGGGGTCCTAGATTCGCGCATGCGCTAGTTTCCGCTTTCTCCACGCTGGTTCCGCAACCCTTTAGTGCCTTACGGTATCCTGGCCTTACCTTTCTCGTGTCCAGGAGATCTGGTTTGTCACCAAGGCCACGATGGGCAAAACTGCCGGCTCTCTAGATCCGGGCACCCGGCCAGACCCCGTGCGAAGTTTCAATCGCTGGAAAAAGAAACATAGCCATAAACAGAACCAAAAGAAGCAGCTGAGGAAGCAATTGAAGAAGCCCGAGTGGCAGGTCGAGCGCGAGGTTATCAGCCGCCTCATGCAAAACTACGAGAAGGTTAGGCGGACACGGGCTGGTGCTGGGGAGTGGACTCGCTGGGTGGGCAGGCGGCGGGTCTACGTGCCACTGCGGCTATGGGCTGTATAGGGGAGGGGGGCGGACCTGTCATTGAGATCTCATTCTGGGGTGCCTACTGTTGTTGATCCACTGAGCTGGAGAAGGGAGTGCGGTGGGAGATGTTATCCGGGGCTCTGTTGAGGTTTTATGAATGATCTGCACTGTGCCAAACCCAGTCGTCTATATACCCATTCCGTTCTTCTGCTCACACCGCTGTTCTTGATAAAAAGGGGTCCTTAAGGGTCGTAGTGGTTGTGAATTGGGCTGCGAACCTTAAGGCCAGCAGTTCGAAACTACCAGCCGCTTCGCGGGAGAAAGGTGAGGCGTTCTGCTCCTGTAAAGATTTACAGCCTTGGAAACCCTGTACAGGGTCGCTATGGGTCAGAACCGACTCGACGGCACATGACAACAACAAGGGTAGAGACATTAGCGCAGTAGTACTTACAGCGGTATTCATAATAATATTGATATCAACAACAATGGTAATGATGATAGTTGCATTTTTAACACTCACCATGGGTTTTATGTTAATAACTTGAGTTATGGGCCTTATTATCCTTATATCTCCATATTGTTGTTTTTAGGTGCCATCGAGTCGGTATCGACTCATAGCGACCCTATGCACAACAGAACGAAACATTGCCAGGTGCTGCGCCAACCTCACAATCATTGCTACACTTGGGCCCAATGCTGCTGCCATTGTGCCATATCATCTCGTTGGGGATCTTCCTCTTCTCCCATCCCTCACTTTAATAAGCATGATGTCCTTCTCCAAGGATTGGTCCCTCCTGATAATATATACGAAGTATGAGAGAGGAAGTCTGGCCATCCTGGCTTCTATGGGAGCATTCTGACTGTACTTCTTCCAACACCGATTAGTTTGTTCTTTTGGCAGTCTATGATGCTTTCAGTAGTCTCCAACACTATAACTCAAAGGCATCGATTCTTCTGTAGTATCCCTTATTCACTGTCCAAGTTTCACATGCATATGAAGTTTTTAAAAATACCATAGCTTGAGTCAGGCGCACCTTAGTCCTTAAACTGACATCTTTGTTCTTGAATACTTTACAGAGGTTTTGTGCAGCAGATTTGTCTAATGTAATAAGTCATTTGATTTCTTGACTGCTGCTTCCATGAGTGTTGATGGTTGATCCGAGCCAAATGAAGTCTTTGACAACTTCTATCTTTTCTCCATTAATCATAATGTTATTTATTGGTCCAGTGGTTAGGATTTTTGTTTTCTTTTCATTGAGGTGCAACCCTTAACAAAGACTGTGGTCTTTGGTCTTCATCAGTAAGTATTTTCCATTTCATTTTTGAAAATTTCCAGTTTTCTAGATTCATACTTCGTACATTCCATGTTCCAATTATTAATGGATGTTTATGGCTGTTTCTCTTCATTTTAACTTGTGTCCCATCAACAAATGAAGGTCTTAAAGGGTTTATTCCATTTGTGTCATCTTTACTTTCAGGAGGCAGCTCTCACCCAGTCATATTTCGAGTGCCTTCCATCCCGAGGGACTCATTTTCTGGCTCTCTATCTGACAATATTTTGGTGCTCTTCATCGTGTTTCAAAATTCAATATTCTGGTGTCATCTGATCGTGCTCTACTGCTATTCATAAGATTTTCAGTGACCAAATATTTGAAAGTAGTCCGTCTCTCCTTCTTCTTAGTCGATTTTCTTGTAGAAGCTCAGCTGAAACCTGTCTACCATGAGTGATTCTGCTGGTAATGAAAATATCCATAGTAAAACTTCCAGAATCACAGCAGTGCATGTGCTCCCACAGTATGATAAACTGATTATTGCCATATTACAGATGAGGTAGTTGAGACAATGAGGGGATAAAAATGTTGTCCTCTCATTTAGTAGGCAGTGTGGGATTGGAACCTAGCCTGTCTGTTTTCCAAACCTTTGCACTTAACCCTTATGCCATTGTCGCCATCAACATCATTTATCCTTTCTGTGCCCACTTGCTTTAGGTCCCCTTCCAAGAAAAGCATGACTGCTGGTCTCTTCCTGGTAGCTCCCATCTCCATATTGTAGCTGGTGTTTCCAGATGAGTAGCCTTGCAGTTATTGCTTTGATCTCGAGACCTTTTTGCCAGATCAGGCTCCTCCACTTACTTCACTCAGCCTCTTAATGACTGCCCCTTTCTAGTGCCGTGTAACCAAGGATTTAACATGTGGTTTGTTTGTGGACTTACACTCATCACTTGTCTGGACATAACTTTCCTTTAAATGAATGATATAGTAAGATTAGGTACAACTTAGAGTTTAGGTATTTGTTTCTGCCTTCGGAGTCAAGATGGTAATGATTTTGATCCTAGCTCTTATTCACTGGATGAGTGACTTTGGGCAAGCTAGTTATGTTGTGTGCTTCCCTTTCCTCATCTTTTAAGGCACAATAATGATACGAGTTCTGGAAGCTTAGTGGTTACGAATTGGGGTGCTAACCTGAGTTAGCAGTTTGATACTACTAGCTGTTCCACAGGAGAAAGATGAGGCTTTGTGCTCCCGTAAAGATTTACAGCCTCAGAAACCCTATACAGGGCTGCTATAGGTCGGAACTGACTCTGTAGCACATAGCCACCACCACCACCTTTTAAGTTATTGGGAGTTTAAAGAATCTTTGTGCATAATACCTGAAACATAGTAATTACTTGATATGCCTTAGTTCAGTTCCTACCCTCTCTTGCCTGGATTACTGCTTGCATTTATCACAGGGGTCAGTAAACTTTTTTCTGTAAAGGGCCAGATAATGAATTTTTTCAGCTTTGCAGATCATACAATTGGAACTGCAGCCCCTGGGTGGTGCAAGGAGTTAACTGTTTGGCTGCTGACGGGAAGGTTTGGAGGTTGCAGTCTCCCCAGAGGCATCTTGGAAGAAAGGTTTGGTGATCTGCTTCTGTCAGAGTAGAACTGTATCCTATAAGGCTTTCATATGACTGATTTTTCAGAGGTAGATCACCAGACCTGTTTCTTGAGGTACCTCTGGGTGGACTCAAACCCCCAGCCTTCCAGTTAGTAGCTGGGCTCATTAACCATCTGTACCACCCAGGGGTTCCTGCATTGCTGTTAGAGTGATTCTTTCCAAGATGAAAATCCAAGATTCACAATTACTTTCAAGAAACTGAGCAAACACTTCAGCATGTCCACGTATTATAGTCTTATTGTTAAGTGCCATCGATTCAGTGTTAACTCATAGTGACCCTGTATAGGGTTTCTGAGGAGCGGCAGGTGAGTTTGAACTGCTGACCTTGCTATTAAACTGACTCTACATATCAGTGTTTATCCTACAGAGTCACACCAGGATTCTTATTCTAGTCTTTTGGAAGAGCAAATTATTTGCAATTTGGCAGACCTATTTAAATCTTACTCAGTCTGGGTATTAACTAACTCTGTGTCTTTTGGAAAAGTTTCTTAAACTTTGTGAGTTTCAGTTTCAAGATTCAATAAAGAGGGAGTACTAGCTATCCAAAGTGTTGTTTTAAGACTCAAATGAGGTAATATATTTAAGCCAAGTGATATGCACTAGGCACATGTGAAAACACAACTTGCAGTTTTGTGAATTGGCTGTGCTCTTTGATACCTTTTATGGAACTTACTCCAGGGCAGCTAACAACAGTTCTGGCATTTGCTGTTGCCATTGTCTGCTGTTGTTGTTGTGTGGTATAAAGCTGATTCCCACCCTACAGGACAGAGTAGAACTGCCCCATAGGTTTTCCACGGTTGTAGAACTTTATGGAAGCACACTGCCTCATCTTTCTTCTGTGGAGTGACTGGTGGATTCTAACCACCCACTTTTCATTGAGAAGCTGAGTGCTTAACCACTGAGCCACTAGGGCCCTGCATCCTACCCTTTTGTTGTTGTTAGGTGCCATAAAGTTGGTGCTGACTCTTAGCGGCCCTGTGCACAACAGAACAAAACACTGTCTAGTCCTGTGCCAACCTCACGATTGTTGCTACTTGAGCCCATTGTTGCTGCCACTGTGGTAATCCATGTCATTGGAGCACTTCCCTTTTTCTCCCACTCTCCACTTTACCAAGCATGGGGTCCTTCTCCAGGGACTGGTCCCTCC